TTCTCTTCCTTGTTCTCCAGACCCTCCCCAGGCTGGACACCCCCAGCTCCCTCAGCTGCTCCTCACAACTTCTCCAGACCCTTCTCCTTGTACTCCAACCCTTTCTCCCCCTTGTCCTCCAGACCTTCTCTTCCTTGTTCTCCAGACCCTCCCCAGGCTGGACACCCCCAGCTCCCTCAGCTGCTCCTCACAACTTCTCCAGACCCTTCTCCTTGTACTCCAACCCTTTCTCCCCCTTGTCCTCCAGACCTTCTCTTCCTTGTTCTCCAGACCCTCCCCAGGCTGGACACCCCCAGCTCCCTCAGCTGCTCCTCACAACTTCTCCAGACCCTTCTCCTTGTACTCCAACCCTTTCTCCCCCTTGTCCTCCAGACCTTCTCTTCCTTGTTCTCCAGACCCTCCCCAGGCTGGACACCCCCAGCTCCCTCAGCTGCTCCTCACAACTTCTCCAGACCCTTCTCCTTGTACTCCAACCCTTTCTCCCCCTTGTCCTCCAGACCTTCTCTTCCTTGTTCTCCAGACCCTCCCCAGGCTGGACACCCCCAGCTCCCTCAGCTGCTCCTCACAACTTCTCCAGACCCTTCTCCTTGTACTCCAACCCTTTCTCCCCCTTGTCCTCCAGACCTTCTCTTCCTTGTTCTCCAGACCCTCCCCAGGCTGGACACCCCCAGCTCCCTCAGCTGCTCCTCACAACTTCTCCAGACCCTTCTCCTTGTACTCCAACCCTTTCTCCCCCTTGTCCTCCAGACCTTCTCTTCCTTGTTCTCCAGACCCTCCCCAGGCTGGACACCCCCAGCTCCCTCAGCTGCTCCTCACAACTTCTCCAGACCCTTCTCCTTGTACTCCAACCCTTTCTCCCCCTTGTCCTCCAGACCTTCTCTTCCTTGTTCTCCAGACCCTCCCCAGGCTGGACACCCCCAGCTCCCTCAGCTGCTCCTCACAACTTCTCCAGACCCTTCTCCTTGTACTCCAACCCTTTCTCCCCCTTGTCCTCCAGACCTTCTCTTCCTTGTTCTCCAGACCCTCCCCAGGCTGGACACCCCCAGCTCCCTCAGCTGCTCCTCACAACTTCTCCAGACCCTTCTCCTTGTACTCCAACCCTTTCTCCCCCTTGTCCTCCAGACCTTCTCTTCCTTGTTCTCCAGACCCTCCCCAGGCTGGACACCCCCAGCTCCCTCAGCTGCTCCTCACAACTTCTCCAGACCCTTCTCCTTGTACTCCAACCCTTTCTCCCCCTTGTCCTCCAGACCTTCTCTTCCTTGTTCTCCAGACCCTCCCCAGGCTGGACACCCCCAGCTCCCTCAGCTGCTCCTCACAACTTCTCCAGACCCTTCTCCTTGTACTCCAACCCTTTCTCCCCCTTGTCCTCCAGACCTTCTCTTCCTTGTTCTCCAGACCCTCCCCAGGCTGGACACCCCCAGCTCCCTCAGCTGCTCCTCACAACTTCTCCAGACCCTTCTCCTTGTACTCCAACCCTTTCTCCCCCTTGTCCTCCAGACCTTCTCTTCCTTGTTCTCCAGACCCTCCCCAGGCTGGACACCCCCAGCTCCCTCAGCTGCTCCTCACAACTTCTCCAGACCCTTCTCCTTGTACTCCAACCCTTTCTCCCCCTTGTCCTCCAGACCTTCTCTTCCTTGTTCTCCAGACCCTCCCCAGGCTGGACACCCCCAGCTCCCTCAGCTGCTCCTCACAACTTCTCCAGACCCTTCTCCTTGTACTCCAACCCTTTCTCCCCCTTGTCCTCCAGACCTTCTCTTCCTTGTTCTCCAGACCCTCCCCAGGCTGGACACCCCCAGCTCCCTCAGCTGCTCCTCACAACTTCTCCAGACCCTTCTCCTTGTACTCCAACCCTTTCTCCCCCTTGTCCTCCAGACCTTCTCTTCCTTGTTCTCCAGACCCTCCCCAGGCTGGACACCCCCAGCTCCCTCAGCTGCTCCTCACAACTTCTCCAGACCCTTCTCCTTGTACTCCAACCCTTTCTCCCCCTTGTCCTCCAGACCTTCTCTTCCTTGTTCTCCAGACCCTCCCCAGGCTGGACACCCCCAGCTCCCTCAGCTGCTCCTCACAACTTCTCCAGACCCTTCTCCTTGTACTCCAACCCTTTCTCCCCCTTGTCCTCCAGACCTTCTCTTCCTTGTTCTCCAGACCCTCCCCAGGCTGGACACCCCCAGCTCCCTCAGCTGCTCCTCACAACTTCTCCAGACCCTTCTCCTTGTACTCCAACCCTTTCTCCCCCTTGTCCTCCAGACCTTCTCTTCCTTGTTCTCCAGACCCTCCCCAGGCTGGACACCCCCAGCTCCCTCAGCTGCTCCTCACAACTTCTCCAGACCCTTCTCCTTGTACTCCAACCCTTTCTCCCCCTTGTCCTCCAGACCTTCTCTTCCTTGTTCTCCAGACCCTCCCCAGGCTGGACACCCCCAGCTCCCTCAGCTGCTCCTCACAACTTCTCCAGACCCTTCTCCTTGTACTCCAACCCTTTCTCCCCCTTGTCCTCCAGACCTTCTCTTCCTTGTTCTCCAGACCCTCCCCAGGCTGGACACCCCCAGCTCCCTCAGCTGCTCCTCACAACTTCTCCAGACCCTTCTCCTTGTACTCCAACCCTTTCTCCCCCTTGTCCTCCAGACCTTCTCTTCCTTGTTCTCCAGACCCTCCCCAGGCTGGACACCCCCAGCTCCCTCAGCTGCTCCTCACAACTTCTCCAGACCCTTCTCCTTGTACTCCAACCCTTTCTCCCCCTTGTCCTCCAGACCTTCTCTTCCTTGTTCTCCAGACCCTCCCCAGGCTGGACACCCCCAGCTCCCTCAGCTGCTCCTCACAACTTCTCCAGACCCTTCTCCTTGTACTCCAACCCTTTCTCCCCCTTGTCCTCCAGACCTTCTCTTCCTTGTTCTCCAGACCCTCCCCAGGCTGGACACCCCCAGCTCCCTCAGCTGCTCCTCACAACTTCTCCAGACCCTTCTCCTTGTACTCCAACCCTTTCTCCCCCTTGTCCTCCAGACCTTCTCTTCCTTGTTCTCCAGACCCTCCCCAGGCTGGACACCCCCAGCTCCCTCAGCTGCTCCTCACAACTTCTCCAGACCCTTCTCCTTGTACTCCAACCCTTTCTCCCCCTTGTCCTCCAGACCTTCTCTTCCTTGTTCTCCAGACCCTCCCCAGGCTGGACACCCCCAGCTCCCTCAGCTGCTCCTCACAACTTCTCCAGACCCTTCTCCTTGTACTCCAACCCTTTCTCCCCCTTGTCCTCCAGACCTTCTCTTCCTTGTTCTCCAGACCCTCCCCAGGCTGGACACCCCCAGCTCCCTCAGCTGCTCCTCACAACTTCTCCAGACCCTTCTCCTTGTACTCCAACCCTTTCTCCCCCTTGTCCTCCAGACCTTCTCTTCCTTGTTCTCCAGACCCTCCCCAGGCTGGACACCCCCAGCTCCCTCAGCTGCTCCTCACAACTTCTCCAGACCCTTCTCCTTGTACTCCAACCCTTTCTCCCCCTTGTCCTCCAGACCTTCTCTTCCTTGTTCTCCAGACCCTCCCCAGGCTGGACACCCCCAGCTCCCTCAGCTGCTCCTCACAACTTCTCCAGACCCTTCTCCTTGTACTCCAACCCTTTCTCCCCCTTGTCCTCCAGACCTTCTCTTCCTTGTTCTCCAGACCCTCCCCAGGCTGGACACCCCCAGCTCCCTCAGCTGCTCCTCACAACTTCTCCAGACCCTTCTCCTTGTACTCCAACCCTTTCTCCCCCTTGTCCTCCAGACCTTCTCTTCCTTGTTCTCCAGACCCTCCCCAGGCTGGACACCCCCAGCTCCCTCAGCTGCTCCTCACAACTTCTCCAGACCCTTCTCCTTGTACTCCAACCCTTTCTCCCCCTTGTCCTCCAGACCTTCTCTTCCTTGTTCTCCAGACCCTCCCCAGGCTGGACACCCCCAGCTCCCTCAGCTGCTCCTCACAACTTCTCCAGACCCTTCTCCTTGTACTCCAACCCTTTCTCCCCCTTGTCCTCCAGACCTTCTCTTCCTTGTTCTCCAGACCCTCCCCAGGCTGGACACCCCCAGCTCCCTCAGCTGCTCCTCACAACTTCTCCAGACCCTTCTCCTTGTACTCCAACCCTTTCTCCCCCTTGTCCTCCAGACCTTCTCTTCCTTGTTCTCCAGACCCTCCCCAGGCTGGACACCCCCAGCTCCCTCAGCTGCTCCTCACAACTTCTCCAGACCCTTCTCCTTGTACTCCAACCCTTTCTCCCCCTTGTCCTCCAGACCTTCTCTTCCTTGTTCTCCAGACCCTCCCCAGGCTGGACACCCCCAGCTCCCTCAGCTGCTCCTCACAACTTCTCCAGACCCTTCTCCTTGTACTCCAACCCTTTCTCCCCCTTGTCCTCCAGACCTTCTCTTCCTTGTTCTCCAGACCCTCCCCAGGCTGGACACCCCCAGCTCCCTCAGCTGCTCCTCACAACTTCTCCAGACCCTTCTCCTTGTACTCCAACCCTTTCTCCCCCTTGTCCTCCAGACCTTCTCTTCCTTGTTCTCCAGACCCTCCCCAGGCTGGACACCCCCAGCTCCCTCAGCTGCTCCTCACAACTTCTCCAGACCCTTCTCCTTGTACTCCAACCCTTTCTCCCCCTTGTCCTCCAGACCTTCTCTTCCTTGTTCTCCAGACCCTCCCCAGGCTGGACACCCCCAGCTCCCTCAGCTGCTCCTCACAACTTCTCCAGACCCTTCTCCTTGTACTCCAACCCTTTCTCCCCCTTGTCCTCCAGACCTTCTCTTCCTTGTTCTCCAGACCCTCCCCAGGCTGGACACCCCCAGCTCCCTCAACTTTTCCTCACAAGTCCTCCAGCCCCTTCTCCTCCTGGTCCTCCAGCCTCTTCTCCTCGTTCTCCAGCCCCTTCTCTCCTTGCCTCATGCTCAACCCTTCTCACCCAACACCCACAGCTCCTTTTCCACGTTGGGAAGGTTCCCAAGCCCCATTTCCCTCCAGACCCATGACCCCACCCCCTCTCTCCCACCCAGGCACCGCATCCCCAAGGAGCAGTGGTGGCTGAAGCTTCGGCCCATCCTCAAAATCCTGGCCAAGTACAACATCGAGTTGGACACCTCAGAGAAGGCCCATCTGGAGCACATCACACGCAAGGGGGTCCCCCTGGAGTCCAACATCTAAGAGGCTTCACCCCCAACCCTTGGTGTGTCCTTCACCTCCAGAACAGGAGGTCCCAGTTGTAGCTCAGACCCCCTGGGAAGCTCCCGAGTTTCCTCAGGGGACATTTTGGGGTTGGTTTAGGTATTTTAGGAGCTTTTGAAGCACAATAAGTGGTTCCTCCAGCGTTGAGGTTGGTTGTTGCCATGAGCTGAGGACAAGGGGTTGGGAAGGAGGCACCAGGACCTCATTTTAGGGTGAAAAATGCAGAATTAAGATGCTTCAATAAACTCGTAACTCCCTCATGGAGGGGGACATAGATTGTGTTCCATCCCTTCCCAGGAAGGAGAACCTGGATTCCACCACCTGCTGCTCCAGGTCCCAGCACAGCAGGAGGAACAGGAAAATAATTCCAGGGGTGGGGTTGGGAGGGAGCTCTGGAGCCCCCCCAGTGCCACCCCCAGCACAGCAGGGGCACCTCCAGCAGGTCCCCCAGGATCCAGCTGGGGCTGGGATGGCTCCAGAGAAGGAGAATCCACCACCTCTCTGGGCAGCCTGGCCCAGGGCTCTGCCACCCTCACAGCAACAGGTTCCTGCTCAGAGAACCTGCAGGTTTGGGCTGGAGGGACCTTGAAGACCATCTAGATCCCACCAGATGATCTTCAAGGTGCTGCCCCATCCCTGAAGTGTTCCAGGTATCTAATGTGGGGCTTGGAGCAGCCTGGGCTGGTGGGAGGTGTCCCTGCCCATGCAGGGGTGGGACTGGATGGTCTTTGAGGTCCCTCCAACCCAACCCAGTCTGGGATCCCACAAAAACCCCAGTACAGGAGCCACGAGCCCAACTGGGACCACGGAGCTTCGGGCTGAACTCGGGGCAGGTTTCCCAGCCCCAACCTGATGCTGCTCCACGACCTGGGCAGGTTACCCACCCCCCACCACCCCCCAGGTGCAAAAATCCCACCTTCTTACCCATTTTTCCCTTTCCATCCCCCCCCCCAAAAAAAAACCACCAAACCCAACCCAACAACCAACCCACCCACA